ATAGAGAATTTTTCTGTTTTTATTAACAATAATATATATATATATAGATAGAGAGAGAGAGGGAGAGAGAGAGAGAGATGAACAATCTGAGATAGATAGATAGATAGATTTGAGAAGAAATCTTTTTATTCAAATTTCATAAAAATCATCCAAATATGAAAAACAGCGACAATAAAATATTTGCGGTAATTATACACAAGGAAAACCTTGTTCACCCAATGAGTAGGGAGATAAACACTCAAGATATTTGAGTCTTTGTCGTCTTGCCGAAAATTAAAGAATATTTGATTAAGAGGAAAAGATGCTCTCAGCCTATTTTAGTGAATTTATGTGGCGAGAGTAAATAAAATAAACGCCCGAAAAATGTATTTTTTTAAAAATTTATAAATTGTTACTTGCCCTTATGTTTTTATTTAAACATTTTGTTCATAGACATTTTTATGATTCGATGAATAAAAATAATTATTTTCAGATTTATTTCTTTATAAAATGACAAATAATAAGTATTTCATTGTAGTTGGATCACATTTCTTGTGAATCTTATAAATAAGCAATCTAATAAATGAATGAATACTGTTTAAATGAATATATATAAGTATCCATTACCGTAAGGAAACATAGCTTCATAATATATATATATATATATATATATATATAAGTGAACATTGAACTCAACACTTAGAGGCGACAGGCTGTTTCATGCAAGAAGCAGACCTGACGATTGCGTCTCGCATGAAACACCCTGTCGCCTCTGAATGTTGACGTCTATGTTCACTTTTATATTTACACATGCTCTATCTCTGATATTGAGCACTTTATCCCATAAATATAGCACATCTTAAGACTATATTTCTTCCCATATATATATATATATATATATATATATATATATATATATATATTGTGTATTTAGGCAGCAATCCTTCATTTATATATGTTTCATTAAAAACGACAGACAAGGTACTACGATTAAGCTTTTTATTTAATTTTTTTGGGGGACTTTCTTTTTATTTTTAAATACTCTATGTCCAAGTTAAATAAAAAGCTTAATCATTGTACCTTGTCTGTCGTTTTTATGAAACATATATATATATATATATATATATATATATATATATATATATATATATATATATATATATATAAAAAAAAAAAAACCACACACAAACATATATATGATGAAATGGATTGTCCAACAATTAATATTTATTCATTTTTTGAAAATTAAACTGTCTTAATTACATATACCGGCCTGAATATTCGAGAAATTTCGTATAAAATATGCGTTCTTCAACAGGAATCGAACCCGTGTCCTAAACGAACCGTCATTTGGTCTGACGTGCTATACCACTCAGTTATAGTGAAGCGTCTGGTTAGCAAAGTCCAAATTACTGTTTATAAAAAGGAAATCTTCGACGATCTTTCCCGAACAATCATATCTGCTCACGAACTGTTAGAGAATGCATATTTTCTGTAAATGTAATTAATACTGCTTAATTTAAAAAAAAGGCATTTATTTAAATTTTCACACACACACACACACACACACACATATATATATATATATATATGACAAATCCTGTTTTTGTCCAAAACAACCCTAGAAGATAACGACTTTAAGGCAAGCAGTGCTCGTTATCAAGAGATAGAGCTTTAGTAGTAATAAATAAATTAAATCTTCACTTATCGTGTAAAGAATTTACGTTTCGCAGAGATTACATCCAAGCTTCGAGGTAATTAGTGGAAAGCAATCGACAGCAAAGGACTAGAGAATTAGGGAAAGTTTTTGGACACTTTATAACCTACTATTTCTCGATATTTGAAAAGATAAGGACTCTGAAAAAGGTTCGAGGTTTTCGATTCCAAACTTTTGACCTTTTTTTTTTTAATCCATTCAACTCTTCCACTGACATCCGATCACATTCTCTCTCCCTATTACCTTTCTCTTACCCACCCTGATTAAAGGTGGCGGAAACAGCTGTGAATCAAAGAAAGCTTGACGTAGCCTTTCGCGTGAATTTGAAATTGGTGGATAACACTGTTCTATGAAGAAGTCCACAGACTTGGCCAAAAGCGCCCGAGAAGCCCACACACTTGGCCAGAAACGTCGGAGAAATCCACACACCTGGCCAGAAACGCCGGAGAAGCCCACACACTTGGCCAGAAACGTCGGAGAAGCCTACACACTTGGCCAAAAGCGCCGGAGAAGCCCACACATTTGGCCAAAAGCGCCGAAGGAGCCCACACACTGGCCAGAAGCGCCAGAGTAGCCCACACACCTGGCCAGAAGCGCCGGAGAAATCCCACACACTTGGCCAGAAACGTCGGAGAAATCCACACACCTGGCCAGAAGCGCCGGAGAAACCCACACACTTGGCCAGAAACGTCGGAGAAGCCTACACACTTGGCCAGAAACGTCGGAGAAATCCACACACCTGGCCAGAAGCGCCGGAGAAGCCCACACACTTGGCCAGAAACGTCGGAGAAGCCTACACACTTGGCCAAAAGCGCTGGAGAATCCCACACACTTGGCCAAAAGCACCGGAGAAGCCCATACACTTGGCCAGAAGCGCCGGAGTAGTCCACACACCTGGCCAGAAGCGCTGGAAAAGCCCACAAACTTGGCCAGAAGCGCCTCCATCGCAGCTCAACGCGAATTGAGACAGGCGTGATCTTGCAAACCTGGTGGCGTCGGGAAGTCGGATGCTTGGTCTGTTATGCTCCGTCATGTTTACGCCCCCCCCCACCGACTGTTACTGTCCTGTTCCACAAGCAAAGCGAAAAGAATAAAGTGTATAATTTATTCATACTAACAATTCTTTTCGCCACAAGGAAATAACCCGTTCTTCAAATATGTCATAACATCTGATGAAGGCTTACGGACGTTGAAACACCAGTTCCCGTACGATCACCGAAGTTAAGCAACGTCAAGTCTATTCAGTACCTAGATGGGTGACCGCTTGAGAATACAAGGTGTTGTAAGCTTGGATGCGTGGGTGGTGTAATGGATTGGACATTATCTATTCGTCTTGAAAGACAAATGAATGGCACATATACAAATCTGCTAGAAGAACGTTTAATGGAGAACTGACACCAATCAGTCTCAAGCTCAAATAAAAACTGTGACACTATTTAGGTTGCTAGAAAGAAAGAAAAAAAAGGGTGAGAATTAAATTTAGGTGATAGGAAGCGATCACGAACAGGACACTAAGCGTGTTATTTTTCTGACAAGGAAAAGTGGTAAGATTCTATTTCCATTGTCGAGAAAGTAAAACACAGAATTTAATTTGATATATGACGATCACCGAATAAACGACAGCAGTCTGCCATGACAACGATAATGATAAATTCCAGGTTGGTAAAGTCGCCTGCGAAACAGAATTCTAGATAAAAATTAAGTGGGTCGCAGAAAAATGCCTGTTGGACCAACCGCAGAATTACAAAAACAAAAGACTGAGCCATTAGCTATCTACGTTTGGAAAAGACATCTGTTTTATGTCGAAGCTGGCCACGATAGGAAAATTATTTTATCAGAACGAATAATTAACGCCAGAATGTGGATCTCGCCGGATGGCCACCCACTTGTTTGGCGAAGGTCCCGGGTGATGAATTCCAGGTGCCATTCAGGATAAGAAATGAGATTAAAGGACCACACTACGAGTTTAAGGACTTGTTGTCGAGAAGAAGAAAGAGAAAGAAAAGAAAAAAAAAGGAAGATAATTTTTTTTTTTGAGCAAGATTTTTTAAACCGAGGCTAGTCTAGCCACACCTACACTGCTGGGCGCCTATTGGCTGAATGCTGGCGTGAGCGTTAGGCGAAGGTAATCATGTGAAGTAGGAGGGGAGCCCTGTTGACACCCCCCCTGAAGGGAACGGTATGAGATGCCACTGTGAGAGAGAGGGGAAACCCGTTGACACCCTCTGAGGGTATGGTGAGATACCAATATGAGAACAGAAGAAGGTGGGAGGACGAAAGACTTCCAAAAATGGAAAATAATAAATTTTTCTGACGGAAAACAAAGAAGTGGATTGTGGATTTAGAATTATCAAGGAACCTCAAACCCCGACAAGCCCACCCCGGTTTTGGTCGGCGTCCATGTAAGCAGAGTCGCAGCGAGTGAAAAGTTGAGTTGAGTTCGCAGTTCGCAGCTGAGTTGAATTGAGTTGGGCCCGCCTCGCAGGAACCTGACTGAAAGATTCCACGCAAATCACGACCTCGACTTCTAACCAAGAACAACTTATTTTTGAAGAACGACTTAGACTCACACCACCAAAACAAGTTTTACGAATATCGCCTGAAGATACACCAAGAACCAGTTTCTTAAAGAACAAACAACTTAAGATGTTAAGACTCGCCTAACAAACACAAAGTGTCACGAATCTATATAGCGGGTTGGGAAGAAGACGCAGTGCTGTATTCAGCAACCAGATATAAAATATTGTTATCCTTTTTTTTTAACACATTTGAAATTTTCGAGTTATTATTTTATTTTATTTTACATATACTTGTGCGATATCACCCTTGATCGGACTCGACTTGCGTTACGGCCCAGCGACTAATTGATTTCGTCTACCTAAGATCAAATCACAATGTGGGTAGGTTAGACTAGAAATCAAAACAGTTACTTCGGTAACCAGACGTTGGAGGCGAGCTGGGAACGACAAGGCTGATACCGAATCTAACCAGATTCCCATCCGAGTCAGCAAAAGGTTAGAACGTCAAATCTGGTGCCACGACCAATACCAAGTCACATTGGTCATCATGGGACAGGATAGGACGGCGACGGCGCGGAGACAGACGGGGTGACATCACAATTGACGGGCGTGACCAGGACAGCACGCGGCCAGGCAGACGTCACATTTGGCGCAGCGACACCGGGTGACGTCACAAAACGAATAAAGTTTACGGGTAGCGAGCAGACAGGGAAATCGTCTCATTCTTAGTCCTATGGAATCCTTCTGTGTCTTCCCACGAAAATTGACTTTCCCAGGAACCATAGCTCGTAACATCTATCTATCTTTGTTCATCCTTCTCTTCATCTATCTATCTATCTAGCGAGCTAGCTAATTCTGTCGATATCTATCTATCTATCTATCTATCTATCTATCTCAGTCTCTTCATTATCTATCTATCTCAGTCTATTCATTATCTATCTATCCAATTCTGCTCATATCTATCTTTCTATGTATGTATATATGTATTCTATTCTTATCTAATTTTGTTCATATCTATCTATCTATCTATCTATCTATCTATCTATCTATCTATCTCTCTGTGTGTCTGTCTGTCTATCTATTTATCTATCTAATTCTGCTCATGTCTATCTTTCTATGTATGTATGTAAGTATCTAATTCTATTCATATCTAATTTTGTTCATATCTATCTGTCTATCTATCTATCTCAATCAGTCCATTATCTATCTATCCAGCTAACTAATTCTGTTGATATCTATCTATCTATCTATCTATCTATCTATCTATCTATCTATCTATCTAAGTCTATTCATTTTCTATCTATCTATCTATCTATCTATCTATCTATCTATCTATCTATCTATCTCACGCTTTATCTATCTATCTCTCTTTTTGCCTATCTATCTATCAGCCTATTTATCTATCTTTTCTTGTTCATATCTTTCTATGTGTGTTTAAAAATGCCAATATGTTTTGTTTTTTTTTTGTTTTGTTTTTTTTGTGGAAGCAACAGAAAATTCTTGTTGAAAACACAACTATACTTAAACATGAAAACAATAAATAAAAATTAAAAATTCTTGAAGCTTTATACATTAAACTGTTGAAACCTAACCTGAACAAAATAAACTATGAAATCTACCAACGGCTTCCCATACTTAATACTTCTCATTTTCACTTGCGCAGTTTGTGATGTCACACATGACCACACGAGAGTGAAAACGAGAAGTATTAATTATGTGGAACCGTTGGTATAAACCAATGGCTTCTATTATCAATTATAGGCATTTAAGAAATGAATCAACCACCTCATGGTCTTCCATAGGGAAAATCGCCAATGGTTTAAAATATTGAAAACGTTTCCTTCAAAGAAAGGTTACAACATTCAAGATGAATTGTACTTAATCATTGTTATGGTGATTTATTCAGTGGTCACTGATCTAGCGAGACAATCTTGATAAGCATGACACCGCGTCAAGGTGCCTAAACGATTTCCTACACGCAGCTTAGATGTGGCACAAGGCCGAAGGTATGAAGCCCCCAGCGAGTATCGAACTCACTACTCAGTCGCAAGTGATCTAGCGAGACAAGTTTGAGTCGCCCATTACACGACCTCGGAGTAACGATTATATCATAGTTATGTATGTGGTTTAGTCGAATTGTACCCACAACGCAACAAGCTTTAATAACTAAGGGAGGTTACTCAGACATTTAATAGTTATCTCGCTTTGATACCAGCTTCTCTCAACCTCTTTGCGTGAGAGAGAATGTGAGTGAACAAGTGAGAATTAAACAAAACACAACATTTTAATCATGTTATCATCCTCATTAAATTAGGCGTGCTATCTAGAAGGCCAAACGAACCACATGTAACCCGCCGATATTTAAATTTATGTATCGACTTAATTGCTGCCATATATGGTCTGGTGCCCTTATGTTTGTCTCAAGGTTCTTGATAAGATCTAGAGACGGATATGCAACGTAATTGGCCCTGATCTGGCATCTCGTCTGCAGTCGCTCTCTCACAGACGTGCTGTTGCCTCTCTCTGTCTTTTTTACAAATACATTCACGGTGACTAATCCGAGAAGCTGCTTTCGCTGATTCTCAAACTTCATGAATTTAAGCGTTCTACTAGGCTGGCATCTCGCTCTCACCCTTTCACTGTCGAAAATGTTAAATGTAGCAGTCTTTTCTACTCCAATAGCTTCATGTCTCGCACTTCTCGCCTGTGGAACTCCCTCCCCTTTTCTTGTTTAACTGATAGCTATAATCTCTAACTATTCAAATGTAATGTCAATCGACGTCTCCAGATGCCTTGATCTATCCCCTAACCGTCTCTTCATCCTTTCCTCTATCACTCCTATTTGCTCTTGCTCTAACTCTCTGTAACCCCTTGCGTGCTAGTGGCTTCCCGCCTTGCTTGGGGGTGAAACGCTTAAAAATATATTAATGTCCCTCAATATGTCCCTTTCACTTTAATAGTTAGTCCTTTCTTCTTGCTTTCCATTTCTACCTTGTCTATATTTTAAAACAATCAGTAAATATTTAAAATTTTACTTTAGTCTGGTACATGGCTATAATATGTTAGCGTTTGGTCAGGCTCGAACTCACAACCAATCGCTTTGGATTCTTAGTTTAGTAAACATTGGTTTATGGCAGTTGCCCGATGTGTGTATTTACGTCTGTTTGTAAATTGAGAACAGATTTTGCTTGGGAATTATGCATGGCACTCACAATGGAATCGACATTTCCAAAAATACCGTCCCTCCTTCGTCTCCTTTACCCCCCACGGGCTTCTGCCCTGCCC